TGTATGTAGAAATTTTTGAAATGGTGTATCTTTGGCTATGTGTATTTTCACCAAAAAAAAAAAAAAAAAGGTTAAAAAATAAATAAATAAGTGTCACAGAAATGTTATTAAAACAGTTATAAGCCTATTCAGTAAAGGGTGGAACATGGAGAGGTGAAATCATCATTCTAAGTCGTATGTTATATGGAAATGAAGTTTAAAGTTTAATCATCAATTTCTTTTTCAGCTTAATAACCACTCTGAATGTTCCCCTTTAATTTAGGAACAGTTGATACCCCATCTCTGCAAGAGAGAATACAAGCCAGACCAAATCCTGAAGAGGTATACCTGCTATTTTAAATGTGTTTAAACCTTTTGGTTAAAAGATACCCTCTTCTTTAATATCAACTCTCCATACTGTCACATTGTCTGTGTGTTTCAGTATAATACAAATCATTTGAGTAGCGTGGGTGAAAGAGTCCCCGTGAACCTGGTTGATCCGTAATTAACGATATTCTTGTGTATTATGCATGATTAATCAAAGTAGCAAGTCAGTGGTACCTCTGTAGATTCCACTTGCCTTTGACAGCCTGAAAGAGATGCAGCTGAGCGCATACTTCAGCTCACATTGCTGATGTCTGGCATGGTCTCTGGTTACAGGCACTGAGCGATTTCCTGAAGAGGCAGAAGACCGGAAGATTTGCAACTGCGGAAGAAGTAGCCCAGCTCTGCGTTTATTTGGCTTCTGATGAAGTAAGCACTATTCTTCCCAGGGAGTTCACATTTGGTCAGAATTAGCCCATTAAAATAATGTCATTTTAGAGAGTTTATATTTATGCTTTGATGCTGTGTTTACAAGATAGGGATAAATTTTTATTTAATTTGCTCAGAGAAAGGCCACTTTGATCTGAGGCACTGTCTCTTCCTCATTCAAATTTGTTGTTGTTGTTGGGTGCTGTTGAGTTGATTTGGACTCATAGCAACCGCATGTGACAGAGTAGAACTGCCCCTGGGGTTTTCTTGGTTGTAATCTTTATGGAAGCAGATTGCCAGGTCTTTCTCCTGTGGAGCCGCTGGGTGGGTTCAAAAACACCAACCTTTTGGTTTAATAGCCAAGCACTTAACCGTTTGCACCACCAGGGCCCTTTCCATTCAGATTTACTTGTCACTGAATCCTGTAGCAAGTGAAATGGAGGATTGAAAAGATTAAATTGGTTGATTTTCCGAGAGTCAGTTGCTTTCAAAAATTATATCTGGGGAAACCCTAATTAGATACAGGTCAAACAAATGAACCTCCAGATTAGGAATTCAGGGGGCACAGAATTGGCACATGGTGTTTTTAGTTTTACTGGTGAGTTCAGGAGAATCCCACTGGCTCTTTTCATCTATTAATTCTTGTTGGACATCACGTATGGAAGCTCTTAATTCTCTTTCCATTTTGCATCTCTTTAGTAACCAGTTTCTGTCTTAGCAGCTATTGTGTATCTTTAAATAGCATACAGCTGAGAAAGCAGGAACTATATTTATAAGGTATAGAGCATGAGAACATTCTCCTTTGTTTTATGTTACATCTGAATACTGCATGACTAGCGAACTATAATGTATGAGAAGAGAGAAGGGGAGTAGGTAGGAGTGAGGAGGTGCACTACTGATCAGTTAGCTCCTCTGTACAGTAACTTGGTGCATCCCAGGTGGTTTGGTGAATGTGACAAATAATGGGATTGAAATTCATTTAGTAACAAAGCAGTCACCATTTCTCGAAACCATTAACAACAATTGCTAATAGTTGAGGAGATTGCTAGACAAACTATTGATGGAACAAGCATGGTGGCCTTTGTGATTTCTTGGACTCTGTATCTTCAGAACAGCTCATTTGATTTTTTTTTTTTTTTTTGGAACTCATTTGATTTTGGGCTACTTCTGATAAGGTAAATTACCTTTGTTAATGCAGGACTTAGGTTACCAAATATTTGGAAATCTTCAGCTTGTGATGTGCAACAAAGGACCTTTGACCTTTAAGAGGGGCCCAGACAAATCCACATATATCACAGAGAGCTTGCCACTTGAAAGAATTGGCAGGGTCGGGGACTGTTTTTTGGTGAAGTGACTAATAACCCCCTAGGTTTTCTATTTTATATAATCAATTTTCATATATTAAACTTTACAAAATTTCTGAACTCATGTTATAATGCCTTTCCTTGCAGCCTTTCCCAATTGTTTCTGGCTTTAGGTAAATTTAAAACTAAGGGCACAAATCTGAGTCGTTATTATCCATGTTTAAGTTAAAAGATTTTTAAGCCTCTACCGCTTAAAAATCACTTAAGCTTTAATTCTTTGGAAAATTTAAAATTCCTTGGGAAAATAATAGTAATTATTTTTTGCAATCATTTAAGTTTGTACAGTTTGAATGTCTAGAACTAATATAGAATATTTTTTCATAGTTTTATAGATTATAATTATTATTGCTTGTGTAAAATTTAAACAGACATTTAGTACATTTCAGCTCTTAAAATTCCATATGTAGATTGATCAACTAAAAATACATTTTTTTTTTAATTCTGTTTGGTAATTGAGATGACCACTTTATGACTGGCGTAAGTTCAAAATTTATTAGTGGCATAAAGCTCATCTAATTTTCAACAGTTCTGAGTTTCAAAATGAAGATGTGCTATTTTAGCCTACACTTTATCCTAATTTTGAGAATGGGTGTGTGTCGCCGCTTCTTAATTTTCTGATTCTGAGATCAAATGCCAAACAGATCCTGCTTAGAAAGTGAGATGTGCTGAGACCACCAGAGGCCATCTAGCTCCAGATCACAAGAACACTTAGCAGCTCTAAATCGCCAGAACTTTAATTCAGATTCTCCTAGATTGTATTTGTTAAGTGATGTTGCCTGTTAACAGGAGAGTAAGTTGTTTAGCTATCCCAGTCATAGAAACATGTAAGAAACACAGCCTGTGTTAAACCTGTCTAATGGTTCCTTCTGTTTGTGTTTATCACTGCAGTCAGCCTACGTAACAGGTAACCCTGTCATCATTGATGGAGGCTGGAGCTTGTGATTTCAGGATCGCCTTGCTGGGAAAGAAGGCAGGCCCTTCCTATCCACAGTGAGCCTGGATATGAAGAAGACTCACTGGTTATCTCTTTTCTATTAATAGCATATTAATGAAAACAAGCCCTTTTTAATGATTTCATTGTTCACCAGAGTCTGATTCTTTAAATATATTTAGCTAATCACTTCTGAAATCATTGTAGGAAGATGAATAAAAGATACTGAACTCACTGCAAGAGAATACTTTTTAAAATAAATCTCAACTTGTAAGCATATAATATTAAAATGTGAATTCAAAAGAAAAGGACTTTTGTTTTTAAAGATATTAATTTCTGTTTTATTTCTGTTTTCCAGTATTCAAATACTTTATACGTTCCGTAGTAGTCCGTATATGAATCCTAATTTAAAAATTTACACCATCATAAATGAATACCAAAGGCAGAGTTTGACTTAAAGTAAGTGGAGTTTAGACTTGGAAATATATTGCTGATGTGTTTTATAAAAGAAAAGTAATCATCAAGTGTACTTAATGCTGGGCGCCTTCACTTATAATGAAGTACTATATTCTTAGTGTGGAAACCTTGGTGGCGTAGCAGTTAAGAGCTACAACTACTAATCAAAAGATCTGCAGTTTAAATCCACCAGGTGCTCCTTGGAAACCCTATGGGGCAGTTCTACTCTGTCCTATAGGGTCGCTATGAGTCAGAATCGACTTGATGGCAAGGAGTAATGGGTATATCCTTAGTCTAATTAAACATTCCTTATGAAATAGTCAATGATATTTGAAGGGTCTAAAAAACATGTAGCTAACTAACTGGCAATATTCTTAGTTTGAGAGATATTTTACAGATTAATTTACCAAATCCCAGGATAACAGACAAGAGGACATGAAATTTGGAACTAGTTTCTGGGTAAGTAAATACCAGTAAATCATAGAACAGGAAGGACACATATGAAACTTAATCTTGGAATTATACAATTAAAATACAATTTCCAAGAAAAAGTATAAGTAAATTCATGGATGATCATTCTTTAATAGACTGTTAAGAAAAATTTTTTTTGTTTTTAGTTTTAGTTTTATGCTTGTTTTTGGTTTGTTTCTACCTCAAAAGATCAGGTAGTCAGATACACATATCAATGATAAATGAGCAGTTATTCTTAGTCTTTTCTTCTAGAACATCAATTATATTAGCAAAGAAAATTTTGAAATGGAAAATGAAACAATAAAATTTTAGGTATGAAGAAGAATTTTATGCAATTGATAGTGATTTAAAATTGATAACAAAGGATATTTTTACTGGAATTCCAGAAGAGTCCATCAATTGTTAAGATTTGCTTTTGGGGTTCTGAACCCACTATTCCACTACAAGATCATGAATGGCTTGTTTTGTGAAGTAGACTGAGTCACCCAACTTATCTGGGATTTTAGTTTTCTGGTTTGTGAAATTAGGGAGCTGGGATAAATGACTTGAATTTCTTTTGGTGTATCATAATCAAAATACTATAAATTTTTATCAAGTGAATTTACAGAACCTGAAGCTTATGTCATGAAGTACTTTATGCTGTGAGCAGGTATAGATGTATATGCAGAGGAATGAACAAATTCTAAACAAACCCAAGATGCATTGTACAAACTGGATTCAAACATTAACAAATGCTTTTTCAGAAATAGTTCTCTCAGATAAACTGTACAACAAAGTAACATTCAGCCAAAAAATTCAATTTTCTCAAAAGTCATGTTGATCAAATTGTGTAATCTATGGACAAAGATCGTATGACTGAAAGAAAAGGAAAAATATATTTCATTCCTGTGGTAAGAGGAAGCTGGATGTCACTAGGGATTTTTGCGAGTTTTAGAACAGGAAGAGTTCTGTTTAGGAAAATAATTTCTTAGATGCTGTGGAGAAGGACATGTAGGACGGAGCCTAGGCTCATCCATTCTCCACAAGAGAGGAACTGAGAGAGGAATGAGTGGTTTCTGCCTAACGAAGAAATTTACTTGATAGTCCCTCTTACCTGAAAATCGGTGGTTAAAATAAAGCATTGCAGCTTGCTTAAAGGAGTGAAAAACAGGTAAGAAAATTTTTTTATTTCTGAAATAGAAATCACCTCAAAGGGTCACTTGCTTCTATGCACACACACACTAGGCTGGGCCGGGGGGTGGGGCGGTGGTGGCTGGAATATAGAGGAAAGGAAGACAAAGAAATGAAAGTGACGAATGAAAAAGAATCAAATTGCTGACGGAAGTGTTAAAAACAATACAGCGAGACGGATTCATGTTAAAGAAGTATGAAAGGGGAAGAAATTCCTAAGTCTTTTATCCTGCCTTTTAACTGGTCACCTGAAGAAAGAATCCTGTTTTCCCACCATTCTGCAGAAGACTCATATAAAACACAGAGTAAAAAATACATGATTTAGAAGTTGATTTGTTGTTAGGTGCCATGGAGTGAATTCAGACTCATAGTGACCCCATGTGATAGAGTAGAACTGCCCCATAGTGATTTCTTGGCTGTACTTTTTACAGGAGCAGATACACAGGTCTTTTCTCCCGCAGAGCAACTGGTACGTCTAACCGCCCACCTCTCCTTAGCAGCCAGCGCTTAACCACTGCGCCATCAGGGCTCCTAGAGGCTGATTTAGAGAACGATGAACTAAGCACCTGGCTGCCCAGCCAACACTTTCCCAGCTCCTGACGAGCCAGCGCTGCGCTTCCTTGCCCAGGGTTCCTTCATCACGGGGCAAACTTGGCGCCTGGGCCCGCGCTCGCTGGGCGGCCTTTCCTGGCAGCTTCCAGGGGGAGCGCGCTCCTCCTGCCACCGGGGCCGGCGAAGCCACCTAGCGAAAGTGAACAACTAAAACGGCGCCCGGTGCCCGCTCCAAGTCCGGGGAAGTGGGCCCCGTGGTTCGGTTCGGCGAGGTGGGCCTGGCGCCACTGCCCCGGGGAAGGCGGGACGCGGGGAAGCAACGCCCCCCGACATCGCGCGCGACTCTGCGCAGCGCCACTGGTTCTGAACCCCCGCGGAGCCGCGCTGGGCGGCAGCGTCGGCGCCAGACGCGCCCGGGCTCGCTCCCGGGTTAGCTCCGGCGCCGCCCTGCCGGACCCCTCCGCGGCCGCGCCGCGAGTGTGCAGAGAAGGCGGCGCCGCCGACGCCCGGCTCCGCGCCCCGGGCCTCGTTATCTGCGATAATCGCAGCCTCCAGCTCCGCCTGGAACGATGCGCCAACCTGACAACCCAGCGCGTCGTGGCTGGACCGGGTTCCGTCAGCTTCTCCGCAGACCTCTTTTAGCCTATTTCTAAATCGATCGACTGAGCCCGGTCTCCAACGCCGGAGGCCGTGAGGTGAGTGGCCACTGGAGAATGTTAAGGCTAAATAAAAGCCTGAGCCGCAGCGGGAACCTCGTGGGCCTGGCTCCTGGCTGTACACCCAGTGGCTTTCAGCAGGGGCATCGCAAGGGTCATAGAGCTTAGAGGCAATCTCTGAATTGAGCCTTCGTCCCCACCCCCACCTCACCCCTCAATTTCAAGATGAATAGAGATTAATAGCAGCGAGGAGTCAGCAGAAACGCCTTCCCGCCCTCTTATCTGGCTGCCACAGTCAGGCGTCTTTCATAGTTGGGGCGCCTGGAGATTCGTTCCGCGACTTACCCGGCGCCACCTTGAACTTTCGCCAGGGGGGCAAGTGCCCCTCCTCCCGGCCCCCCAACTTCCCTTGCTAGGCTTCTGGCTTTCCCGTGTGTTTGCTGTTGTGTTAGTGTTTCTGCGGAAGGGGTTTTCCTTGTTTGTTGTGAGTTTCCAAATCAGCGAGAAGTGTGGCTTTTGTGCATTAGGTGAACACCCATCAGCTCCTACTGACTGGAGAATATAACCACCTGCTCCAAGCGCAGTTTCAGGCCACAGCTTCTTTACCTACCTGGCATCAGCTAGTTATCTTACTCCTTTCTCACCCTCACCTCTGCTGTGATTTGTTGCCCTAAGAAATTAATAGTAGGAAGCAGCCCTTTCCTTTAGCCCCCATCAAGAAATCGACAACACCAGCTTTCAGCAGGGCGGATACCTTAGCCAGGTGAGCTTCTGTTCTCAGTGAAAGACTAAAACCCCTTCTCCCCACCCCTTCTCTGTAATGGAGCCTCAACCTGACAGTTATTGGGGCTACACAGTATTTTCTTGACGTTCTGGTTTATGCTTTCTCGGAAAGTCAAGAATGAAACATTTCAGTTCAGCAAATGCCTGTGTGTCTTCTCCGTGCCAAGCACCTATGAGGACAAGAGATACAAATGTGACTTAAATACAGTTTCTACCATTCAGTAGCTCAAAATCCAATGCTTCAGAGTATACCTAAACAAGTGATAAGGTACTGTGTGATTCATGCTATACTAATGATATAAAGTGAATAATTCACGCAATGTCTTTTTCTAGCATATATTAAGGTCTTCAGAATTTTGGCTCGGTTGACTACATTTTTACCATCTTTTTAGGACTTCTATGGAAAAAGAAAAAAACACCAAACCAGTTGCCATAGAGTCAACCCTGACTTGTGGCAGTCCAGTATGTACAGAGTAGAACTATTCCATAAGGTTTTCATGGCTGTGACCTTTTGGCAGCAGATCACCAGGCCTGTCTTTGGTGGCACATCTGGGTAGGTTCAAACTGCCAACCTTTCGGTTAGTACCATTTGCACCATTCAGGGATTCCTGAACTTCTATACAAGGCATTAAAGGATAAGTGGAAATGTGTCGATGACCTAGGTCCAAGTCCAGGGCCCTGCACCTAAGTGCTGTGCTGGATGTGAAATTTGGCCCTCACATTTGTTCCCACCTGCTTCTGTTGTGCCTTCTTCTACAGCAGAAAGTGGAAAGTGACAAACATTTCCCAGACTCCCTTCCAGCTAGAGTTCTGGATGCAAAATTAGAGTCTGGCTGGTAGCTGCCTTTCCTGAGATTTTGAAGACAGGGTTGAGGTAGAGGCCATCTTCTTGCTGTTTTGGCTGTTTTTTGCAGGCAGGAGATGCCAGCGTCCAGTCTCCAGCATTGTGGCTGTTAGGAGGCCCTTACAGCAGTGGTGATGGCCAGCCTTAGCATTGCAGTCTTGGAGCACCAGCTGGATGGCTGTTAAGGGAGGTGGTGAACACATTCTGTGTTCGCTGGCCAGGCATCCTTCAGATCCCAGCTCCTCTGGATCACAGCTACAGTGGTTCTTGAACTCTGTATCCCTGTGGTGGCCTTTGATTGTGGCAATAATAGTACACTCCTTAGTGGTTCAGTTACTAGTGTTCCAGGAGTTATTCCTGGAGGCCCAGCCTAGACCCTGCACTTCTAGCTCTTTCACCAATCTCGGGAACAGTTAATTCCCTGCATAAAATCCCTTTCTGCTTAAAATACCTGGAGTGGCTTCTGTTTTCTGCATTGCCTTTGATTAACATGCTTGCTATGTAGCCTCTAAGAGTCACCTAAACCTAATCTCTCTAAACTTCAATTTCATCTCATGGCAAGGAAACTGTAAGCTTAGATCCAGAAGCCTGCGGTTATTTGATACGTTCAATAGAGCTATACCCTCCCCAGTTGCCATAGACTCACATGTCTGTATTACCTGCCTGGCCTCTGACAGCATTTGAGTGTGATACTCATAGACTAGATTATCTCTGATGCCTTTAACTCTACAAGTATAATATAAAACGTTTCTTCACTTACAATCTTTAAAGAAGTATAGTTGTTGACTACCTGGCTCGTAGCCTACTATTTATTAGTCCTATTCATAGTTTGAGGGGCAGTGGTCGTTCAGTGGCAGAATTCTTGCCTTTCATGTTGGAGACATGGGTTTGATTCCCAGCCAATGTACTGCATGCACAGCTACCACCCATCTGTCAGTGGAGGCCTGTATGTTGCTATAATGTTGAGCAGGTTTCAACAGAGCTTTCAGACTAAGGCAGACTAGGAAGAAAGGCCTAGAAATCTACTTTAGAAAACTAGTCATTGAAAACCCTGTGAATCATAATGGTCTGATCATCCTGTTGTGCCTGGAGTCGGCATGTGTTGGATGGCAGTTAACAACATTCATAGTTTATATACAACTGACTTTTTTTTTTTAGTTCATTTTGTTTTGTTTTTTTCCTAAATTTTATGTTGTTGTTGTTGAGAATATACACAGCAAAACAATTCAGTTTCTTCGTGTACAATTTAGTGACATTGATTATATTCTTTGAGTTATACAACCATTCTCACCCTCCTTTGGTGAGTTGTTCCTCCCTCATTAAAATAAACTCACTGCCCCCTAAGTTTCCTATCTAATCTTTTGAGTTGCTCTTGTCAATTTGATCCCATATAGATAGTTCTTAAAAGAGCATAATGCTCAAGGTAGACCTTTTTCACTAGTTATGCTAAACTGTTATTCAGTTTTAAGATGACTTCAGGGGATGTTTTTGGTTTAAGGTTTAAAGATTATCTCAGGGCTGTAGTTTCAGGGGTTCATCTACCCTCCATGGCTCCAGAAAGCCTAGAGTCTGTGAGAATTTGAAATTCTGTTCTGCAGTTCCCCCCTTTTGATCAGGGTTCTTCTATGGAATCTTTGGTCAAAATGTTCAGTAATGGTAGCTGGGTACCATCCGGGTCTTCTGGTCTCATGGCAAAGGAGGCAGTTGTTCTTGGAAGCAATTACCACACATTCCATATCCTCCTCCTATTCCTGACTCTCCTTCCTCTGTTGCTCCAGGTGAATGGAGACCAATATTGGGCCTTGAGTGGCCGCTTGCAAGTTTTTAAGACCCTAGGCACTACACAGTTAGGAGGTAGAACAGAAACACTAAACATATCATTAGGCCAGTTAACTGAGATGTCCCATAAAACCATTACCCTAAACCTCCAAACCAAGGAACGAAATCCCACAAGGTGTTTGGTTGTACATAAGCAGCCTCAACAGCTACTCCTTTTTAAGATATTTTCCCTCTGAGGTAAAAAATATTTACATCTTCTTTCTCACACAAAGCCTGGGAGCATAGTATGTGGGAAAATGGAGCTTCCTGTGTATGTACTTCTGTAAACACACACATATAAAGAATGTGACCATAAAGTAAGGTATCTTATAGTGACATGTCATACATGTTAAGGAAGGTGCAATTATGATAAGTTCTAGAGAGTTTCAATGGCCCTATAAAGTTATTAAATATATCTTGTCAACTTCTTTTTAAAAATCTATTATTTATTTCTCTGTGCTTTACAAGAAGGACTATAAAGCTTGTTGCCCTCATCTGTCCTCTTCAGTGCAACACACACATGGCTTCTTACAAAAGGAAGATGAAAGAGTGGGGGACTGTGTTAGGACCCCAAGAGGTACTTTGTGACAGAGGCATTATCACTATTTTAAAGAAGAGGAAACGTGTCCAGACTAGGTACATAACTTGCCCGAGATGCCCCAACTAGGAAGCAACAGGGCAAGGGTTCACACTCATGGCTTTTATGTCCATTTTTCTCCAGCTGCTCCACATTTGTTCTGGTTAATATAGAACTGCATAGAATTCCTTACATGCATTTTCCTTTTTCACACCTTGTGCTTTGCTCGTGCGGTGGGTGTGTTTACCTGGAATGGTCTTTAGACTAAGTCATCTACGGCTTGATTCAAACATCACTTGACCCCAGCCAGACAGTGCAATGCTTCCTTCCACATGTTTAACTATTCCTACATTTATCATATTATAATTAAATTACCTTAAGATAACACCAGCTGCTATAACAGATGGATTCTAAAAATCTCAGTAACTTAACACAGTAGAAGCTTATTTCTCACTTATATAAAGTCTACTCGGGTGTTCAGCTTGTGGCCTTCCCCTCAGTGATTCAGGTACCTAGACTTGTTTTATGTTATGACTTTGCCATCCCCTAAGACCTTGGAGTCCTTAGTTTCTAGGCAGTGAACAGGGAAAGAAAGGGTATATGGAGCATTGCATGAGAGGTTTCTTTTGGACCAGGACTGGAAGTAGCTTACATTATTTATGCCCACATTCCATTGGCCAGAACTCAGTTACATGTCACACTGACCTACAAGGGAGACTGGAAAATGTTGACTATCTGTGTGCCCAGGCACTGGTTTTGGTGAACCGATAGCAGACTTTGTCCCCACTTGAAGAACAGGGACTGCATCTTACTCATCTCTTGGAACACCACAGAAACTCAGTAAATGCCTGTTGTATGCCACTGGTTATGGAGGAATGGGATTGCTGTCTCACATACCTAAAACTGAAACACTTAGCACGATTCATTGTGATTGCTTAAGGAATTATCTGTCATTCCGCCAACAGTTCTGCAAGTTCTGAGGATGGGAACTATGTTAGATTCCCTTCTAAATCCCTA